AATGGTCACTGAGTGTCGCGGGCCGGGCCGGGCCGGAGGACCGTCCGCTCGAGCTGAATGTCCACACGGGAAGCCGCTGTGTCACCGCAGGCCGGCAGCGCGCAGCTGACGCACAGCGAGTCCAGGTGAACTCGTCAGAAATGATTCACTCACCGCGCTGACGGGAAATACCGCAGCCGAGTGGCGCCATCGGAAACACGGGCGATGGAAGATGTCTGGGATATTTGACTGGAGAAAATGGAGCCGTTAACTCGAGACGTGAAGACATTTTTACGGCACGGTTTTCGCGTCATCGCGCGACATGGACCAGACAGCCGTGGAGATGGCTGAGCGGCGACGCGCGGCGCCGTGGCCCGGCGCTGCCGGCGCGCACGCAGAGCGGCGAGCTCTCCGCCTCCGGATGGGGTTCACCTGTGGCCGCCAGCACCTGGGAGCCGCCCCTGCCGACACCGACCGGGCTGTATGTGTCGGACCGTCAGCGGCGGTGGGCTGCGGTGGTCCTGCTCCTGTTTATGGCCCCGCGTTCCCGCCGCATGCGCGTCAGGAGCCATCCAGCTGCGCCACCCGGCTCACGCGCACTGTCATTACCGACTACCCAGCGGCTAAACAAAGGCGAGACAATCCAGTTTACAATACGTAATGGCGAGCAATTTGAATGAAAAAGCGCCGATGAGTGTTAAGTTAAATCGTTTGATTGTTTCTGTGAGGAGCGTTTCCGGCGGTGGCCGGGAGCGCGGCGGTGGCTCGGCGGAGGTCATAAACACGGCAGCGGCGCTCGGCTCGGCAGCCGCCGGGGCTGCGGCGCTCAGCCGATCGGCGCCGCGGACTGGGCAGACAGTGGAGAACAATCGGCCCGTGCATTATATATGAGTCGGACGGGCGCGCCCGGCTCTACCAGCAACTTCCACCGCCGCTGGCCGGGAAAATGGCGCAAACTCAGACAAATGCCATCCGGATATGCGCCTTCTAACGCCAACTAGCAATTGATTCATGTCATCGTTGCATATCTTTTCTGTGTGCGACTTGCTGTTGTTACACGCAGGCTGTGCATTACACGGTGAATGAGCCACTCAAAGTGCACAGCCATCAACTGACAAATGGTGCAGAGGGAAAAAACTGTCGCGAACTGTTCCCACCGGCTCAAAGGTCCCAATAAATCTTCATCTAATGCGGGAACACTGTAGGCCATTCAGGTGTGCCATTTGTCGTCGTCTTTATGGCCTATTGCTTGCAAATGGGGGGCGTCGGCGGCGGTCGGCGCTCACGGTCACTGTGCGGCAGCGAGACAACTTCAAACGCCGCCGGCCGCCCCATTACGATCGCATTAGGGCGCGGCGCGGCGCGGCCGGCGGCGCGGCGGCACCAGCGCGGCCGCCTGATGACTCAATCCACTGCCGGTGGCGGCAGGACGGCGCTGGCCAGCCCCGCAGCCCGCAGCCCGCAGCCCGCAGCCCCAGCTCGGACCGCCCGGGAGATACTGCGACGGGTCCGCCGAGTCTGGGCGGTGCGCCGTCTGTGTGGGCACTCAGCGCTCCGGCCGAGCCGAGAGGAGAGACGTCCAGTCAGCCGGCCGAGTGACGGGCTCAAACTGACAGCGACCGATGGGATTACTGTTAAAACGACTTATTAGTCGTTAAAAATCTACTAATTGCCCCCTTTTACGGCAGCAAGATAGGCACTTGAAAGGCGAGATGACAAAAGATTTGATTGATGTAGCCGAAACAGATCCTTCAGTCGGACGAAGAATGTGATGCTCGCTTAAAACAACATTCATTGTCTCAATATTGTACAAACATAATGTAATCCTCGTCTTACAGCACGAAAAGAACCAACACAAAAACATTCTACTCCTCACATTAGTACGGCTATGCAGCATGTGCCAAACTAAACCGGTATCATATTTCCAGCGTAGGTAGCCAACGCAGAAAAAGCTAATAGGACATTTGACAGCCGTTGGTTTGACGTCACAGCCTCTTTCTCTTTCCACTCGTCTCTCCTGGACCGTTGTTCCTCTGTACCTGCAGTTCCGACACTAGCAGCGGTGCTGGAGTTGACTGACGTCACTGATCAGTGACGGGTCACATCGCTGGCAGTCCGGGCGCTGCTGGTGGCGTCAGTGACGGCCCGGGCGCTGACGGCGGCGTCACTGACACGTCACTGATAGTCCGCGCGCTGCTGGTGGCGTCAGTGACGGCCCGGGCGGACCGCAGATGGGAATTGGAGGCACCGCCCGGCCTCCCGCCCGGCCGGGCGCCCTTACAGGCACGTGCCGCGCAGGGGAACAGCGGGCACAGCGGCGGCCGCCGGGCCCGGCCGGGACACAGAACAGCTGAGTGGTATACAGCAGCACCCCAGCCAGGGGAGAGGAGGGCCGGGGAGCGGGGAGGGCAGGAGGAAGGGGAGCGAGAGGACTCAGCACTCCCCTATTGTTGGGGATGTAGAATAGGTCAGTGGGCGGGACACATAGATCGTTACATACTCTCTGTCTGGTAATGTGGGGTTGGTAAGTGAAGTAACTACACTCATCGAGTCACGAACGGACGGAAGTAATACACACACTCAGAAACCAGTATGTCGAATGGAGGGTTACGGGACCACCGCCTTAGTAGGATAGTGCAGGGCCATTAGTGGGACCTGGGAGAGCAATGGGAGACCAGGCAACAGTGGGACCTGTGCAATAGTGAGACAGTAGGACGATGGGACGGTGGGACGGTGGGCCGGGGACGGTGGGACAGTGGGACAGTGGGACGGTGGGACGGTGGGACGGTGGGACGGTGGGACGGTGGGACGGTGGGACGGTGGGAGGTGGGCCTGTGGGACAGTAGGACGGTAGGACGTTAGGACGGTGGGAGGTGGGCCTGTGGGACAGTAGGACGGTAGGACGTTAGGACGGTGGGACGGTAGGGCGGTGGGACGGTGGGACGGTAGGACGGTAGGACGGTGGGAGGTGGGCCTGTGGGACAGTAGGACGGTAGGACGTTAGGACGGTGGGACGGTAGGGCGGTGGAAGACAGATAATTCAGTACAGACCGCACCAGCGGCGGTCCTAACCCATCTGTCCCCGCGTTCCGCTTCCCGCGCCTGGGAAGGAAGTGCCTGTCTCGGGGACTGGGAAGAGGAGCGTATCTGTCCCCGCACCAGGGAAAGGAAGCGCCTCTGTGTCTGCGCCTCTGACGGATGACTTCTACACTCGGGGATTTCTACCACTTGCTTGCTTGAAATGTTGCTATCCGTGCTGACAGCAGCCGGCACGGACAGACGGACGGACATACATACAGACAGACGGACGGACGGACGGACGGACAGACGGACAGACGGACGGACGGACAGACAGACGGACCAGACGGGGACGGACGGACAGATGGACGGACGGACGGACGGACAGACGGACGGACGGACGGACGGACAGACGGACGGACGGACGGACGGACAGACGGACGGACGGACGGACGGACAGACGGACGGACGGACGGACGGACGGACGGACGGACGGACAGACGGACAGACGGACGGACGGACGGACGGACGGACGGACGGACAGACGGACGGACGGACAGACGGACAGACGGACGGACGGACAGACGGACAGACAGACGGACAGACGGACGGACGGACGGACGGACGGACTGACGGACGGCCGCCGCCCGCTGCCTTGGGCCGGCTGGGAGCGACTGCCACCTCTCGGATGTCTGAGCGGTGATTCGCCGGCTGCAGCGCGCACACACGCCCGATAAGGCAGTTTTTGCCACCGCTTGCAGGCTTTCAAACGCTGCTAAGACCTGGTTACAACAGCAATTAAGGCTATTACACTGGGTGATGTGTTTATCACACAATGTAGGCATCGTTGCTTACAAGCCGAATTGACAACTTCCATTAAGCCACAACCAGATGTGGAGATGGCTTTGACAGTGTTTTGCTGAGAACGCAAGGAGACGTTTTAGTTCCAACTCGCTCTTATACCTACAGTTTTAGAGCATCTGGTCACGTTTTCAACATGATATTTTATGTCATACTCAATACGTATGATTTCATGCAATTTATGCTTATAAAAAAACATATACTTGTATATATTTAACACTGTGTCTTACTCTTCCGTCCTCTTCCTTGATATTTCCCCTTCAGTCCTCCTGCATGTGGCCGATAGCGAACAGACTCAGGAAGGCGTGTGGCGTTTTATTTGAGTAGGGTCCGACATCAAACTGCCAGAACTCGCACAACTTGGCTGATGTTTTCGATCGAAGCCATTCGTACCTCGCCTCGGGGGAGGGCCGATCACAAAGTTTGCCGAGAAACAGAACCATTTCGCCCAAGATCAACAGCTATTGACGTTAAATACTGGAGAAGGGAGGCCTGAGCAGACTAAAAACGCGATGCCTGCGGCGGACTCCCGATTTTCATGCAGTAGTGACTTAATGTAACATCAGCGACATGTTTCCATTATTTCACACAAGGCATCGTGATCGACGAGGCGCGCTTTAACTTTCCAATGGCCAAACCCCGATATGAATGATAAATGAGCTGAACCATATCGCAATTCGATGATGGAAGTCTATGCTCAGCGTTTGACGATAAAACTGCCTCCCCCAGGAATACCCCATGGAATTTGACACCAATAAACCGAGCTAACCCGTCAAAGTTGCAGTAGCGCGGGATAACACGGCCGGGAACGAGCTTTACGGCCGCCGACTGTCGCATTGCTGATCCTAATGTGTGCCGCCGGTGCGCTGGGCTCATATCGGCGCCCCCCCCCCCCCGCGGGCGGCCTTTATCGGCCGCCGCCACCGCCGGCGCCCACCGGCGTCATCAATGATCGATGACGCCCCCGGCAGAGCTGGGCGCGACACGGGCGCCCGAGCGGCCGCCCAACAGAGCGGGCGTGCTTGAATGAATGGCTGCGGCTAGACGAGGGGACGAGAAGTGAACGACTGGACACTGTCAGCGTTATGATTTGGTCGCTGCACCGCTCACTTCTCCTCACAGTGGGTGTTGTCTGTTTTCAGCGCCGTTTCCGCTCAACCGGAGGATAGGACACCCATACCAGAACCGGACGCCCCCGAAACGGAAAAAGCCGCGCACATCATTCACAAGAGTGCAGGTAAGAGGGCTATATTATTTCAGATTGCATTGCACTTGTAAAACAAAAAGAAAAAGGAAACGATTCGATCAATTTAACAGTGCATTTATTAAGCCGGTCAGTGTTATCCTTCACACTGTACATTAGCAACTAAATGTTTAATAATGCACGGTGTTGTGTTTTGCAGATATGTGAGTTGGAGAAGCGCTTCCTGAAGCAGAAGTACCTGGCGTCGGCCGAGCGAGCCACGCTGGCCAAGCAGCTCAAGATGACAGACGCCCAGGTGAAAACGTGGTTCCAGAACCGGCGCACCAAGTGGAGGTGAGCCCGCCCGCGGCGCACAAACTCGGGCCATTGGAGGACAGTGCTTAGGTACTGTCAGAGATTGACACTGCCGAGCGAATGCCTCTTCACATGACACACATGCCTCGCCGGTACGCATAGATGCCGTTCTACACCCGGAGACTGCAGCTGTGGGCAGAAGGATATCCTCTGATGCTGTTCCGCACAGCACGGAGCCTGCAGCTGTGGGCAGAAGGATATCCTGTGATGCTGTTCCGCACAGCACGGAGACTGCAGCTGTGGTCAGGATATCCTTTGATGCTGTTCCGCACAGCACGGAGCCTGCAGCTGTGGTCAGGATATCCTTTGATGCTGTTCCGCACAGCACGGAGACTGCAGCTGTGGGCAGAAGGATATCCTGTGATGCTGTTCCGCACAGCACGGAGACTGCAGCTGTGGTCAGGATATCCTTTGATGCTGTTCCGCACAGCACGGAGACTGCAGCTGTGGGCAGAAGGATATCCTGTGATGCTGTTCCGCACAGCACGGAGACTGCAGCTGTGGTCAGGATATCCTTTGATGCTGTTCCGCACAGCACGGAGACTGCAGCTGTGGGCAGAAGGATATCCTTTGATGCTGTTCCGCACAGCACGGAGCCTGCAGCCGCGCACAGGGCACTAGCACCGCGCCATGGCCATGGGTGGCGGGGCGAGCTCCACCGCGCCCTCCAGTAACAGCGGCACTGGTAGCACACCGCACACCGTGGTAGCATACCGTGGCGAAGTGCAGGCTCGTCAGAGGCCAGTGCCGCCAGACGCTGAGCAGTGGTCCGAGGTGGAAACGACCTGAGGACAAGACCTGAACAAGGCTCACCCTTAGCAGATCGGCTTTGGCACCGCTGATAACTGTGGCCGAGCAGTTCCACATCTTACCACTCGAGCGAGAGCTTGAGAAAAGAGCTTCCTTATCTTTGCTGTGCAATACTCAGCGAATAAGTAATGCACATAATTGAACAATATCACGTAGTTTCTAACGGATGTGACGCGCCATTGCCAATGTTCCGCGGGAATTACCCACCCGGCAGTGAGTACCCACCGCACTGCAGCCTCGGCCAACTAATGTACCGGTCGCCCGGTGCGGCCAGAGCCACGAATCGCAGCCTTATTGTGTCAGGCGGCCAGTGTCTCAGCGCGGGGCTGCGCAGAACTTGGCTCGTTACGACGGCAGTGACGCGAGCCGGCCGGGATTTCAATCCAGCCGGCTGCCGTAGTTCCTGGCCAGCGCCGAGAAATGTCAGCCAGGGAGGCGATACAGCGCTGCACACGACGCTGGCTAACGGATAAAGGACTGCGACTACTGGCGACTCGGCAGACGGTACGGAGCCAACTACCAGACAGCCACGACACGATGAGAGTCAATAATATTTTCAAAAGGATTTACGTAGGGGAGAGTGGGGCACATTCGTGCATGGGGCACATTCGTTTTCAGCAGTTTATGGGAACACGAGTGACTGCACGAGCTCAAGGTAAATTATGGAAATATGTCTATCATTGCCGCCCTTCGTTCACCGTAGAAGACAACACTGTACCTGCTGTCATGCTTGATAAAAACGCAAATTTGTAATATTCGTGAGCTTTCCAAACTTTTCTCATATCATCCATTTTCGTGATCCTGACTCGGAAATGTGGTTCAGCTTTTCAAAATTGGGGGTGAAGAAGCCCACTCTATTCACGGAACTGCTGCAAACTTGTTTGTTGAAAAAGTGTCATTTTTTCAAAAAGAAATTTTGAAATATATTACTAATAACGTTGTGGGGCAGGTTCGTGTACGCACTGCCTGGGGGCACATTCGTGCATATTTTTCTTAGTTTTTGCGATTTATGACTTTATCTGTAGTAGGTTTCTCTAATGACGCTCGCCTGACTCAGTCTCGACTGCTTGCGACGTCGTGACGAGCAATTCACGCGAACTTGGCGAGGTCACGGAGGCCGGCAGTTGGCACATTCTTGTTGGCCAGCCCATTCTTTCTACATTTGTTGTGCAATGCATTCTTGTCGAAAGGAATCAAGTGAAATGACCCCCTGCCAATTTCCTTTGGTAAATTTCTGGTAATGCCCGGTAATTTCTCGAATTTTGCCGGGTGAACGGAAGTGCCCCATCTCTTGAACGAATGTGCCCCATAGGTGGGGCAGTTTCGTGCAAATGTTCAGAGTTAATAAAAGTCATTTTTTCTAATGGAAGCAATAAGTTTATAGGATAACTTTTAAAGAGGAAAACTATCTGCAATAGTTCCTTTCCATACTACAATCAACAATTTTGCCATTGCACTAACCAAAGAACAGATATATGGGTTTATCCATTTTTTGCACGAATGTGCCCCACTCTCCCCTATATGTATGAGATGGCAAATACTGCTTCCTGAAGACGGTGACCCGTATGTGGTTTGCTTTCTGACAGTATCTTAATGAAACTGTTGCCTTTTACTTGGCTGCAGACTGAATATCCTGGTCGACTGAACTCAATGAATAGTGTGTGAGGGAGAACATTTATGCATTGAAGCTCAAGTCTTGGATATATTTCTTAATCGCAAAACAGCGATTTATCATTTTCCGGCACCGCCATCCATAGTGAGGCAGGGGTGACATTTCTCTCCAGATTTCTAGCTGCATTATGACGTTCAAGCTAACTGTAACTTTTATCACCTAATATATAGAGACTGGAAACTCGTGAACTTCTGACGGCTTACACCATTCGATAGCATTGTTGCTTGAGAATTTTAGACAGTCCTCAATAAAAGTTGAAAGCAGACAAAAGAAGTTGGGAGCACAGATGAATGCCTGGTTTCTGAAACACGCTAGAAGCTGCTGGGAGCAGCTGGCACAGGGATGCCTACCGCGGGATCACAGGGCGCACGGTAGTACAGATTGGCACACTGCCACAGCCCGCCGCAGGTGTGAGCTGTACGGAGGTCTGGGTCGCGCCCGGGGGCTGCTGCGGTGAGCTGTACGGAGGTCGGGCTGCAGCAGCGGTTGACGTGCTCCTGCTCAGTGTGTTGCCGGGAGGGAGCCGCGGCTGCCTGTTTACCGGCCGCCTCTGAGGCTCCTTTAATTAGTGTCAGTAGCGGACGGGACGGCCGGCGGAGTGGTGTGAATAATTCACACCGGCGCGGCGCTCCCAGCGGCCTACCGCCGCGCGCACCGCTGGCCCGCGCCGCGCGACGCATGACCTGCGCCCGGTATTAATTACTCCGACATCGCGTAAACATGCTCGATAACCGGTCCGGTTCGGCCGAGAGGCGACTGCCAGTCAAAGCGGCCGCGCCCGATAAGCGCCGCCCGCGCCACCGCCGCCGCCCGTAACGACCGCACGCTAATGGCTTTCCCGTGTCAGCGTGACGTCACCGCGCATGCGCACTCTGTCCGATGCCGTGATAGGGGATTTTATTAATAGTTGTATAGTAAAGCAGCTATCTGGAACTAATTGAGTCATGCCATTATTACAGGCTGTTGAGATAGCTGGCTCTCAGCGACCTGCCGCCTTTGTGCCGAGTTCGTGGCGGCGCGGCGACCAGACGGCGCCAGGCTCGCGCGCGCCGCCAGTCGCTCCCTGGCCAACGGCAATAAAATCGTATTACCCACTATCTAAACATTTAGTGAAGCTTTTATCTTAAAACGGCACAAGTGCAGTTTTTAGAGGCGCGCCGCCGGCTGCTGGCGCCGGCACCGTCGGCCGCGCCGCCACTCGGCTCACTGACGACCCGCAAAAACGCCGCCGGCCGCGCCCGCCGCGTGTTGACACGGCGCTTTTTCGGCGCGTCCATCGCGGCGGCGCGCTCGGCCAGAGAGCGCGAGCCGCCGCCGTCGGCGCCACCGAATGCCCACCGGCGCCAGTCGAGATGTTGGCCGGCCGGTGCGCCGCCGCGGCAATATAAATCGCTATGCAAATCGTCAAATCGTTCGGCAACTGTGTACCATTAGCGATATGTCCATTAACGAGTAGTGCTCACTTGGCGCGGCTTCAATAAATCAGCCAAATGGACACTCTTAAAACGATTCACATGTTGCTGCGCAATCGCAGCCGGAGACAGGCGGCGAGGGCGGCGCCGGCGCGGCGAGCGGCGGCGATCACGGCGCTAATGCGCCACGTCGGGCCGCCGCACTATCGTTGATAGCATTGGTGGGCGGCGGCGGCGGCGGCGGCGGCTGAGGGGGTGGAGCAGCCGCCGCCGGACGTTGCGTGTCGACCCGTGTGTGTCTGTCTGTCTGCCGAGGCGCTGACACGTATCGACCGGCGGCGGGACGACCGCGCCGCCGACCGGACATCGCCGGACTCTGGCCGCACAGCGGAGTGCGTCCGCCGCCCGCCGCCCGCCGCCCGCCGCCGGCAGCAGCAGAGGTGCTGGGTCCGCCCCGGCTCCCACGAGACCGCACGCACTGCAGCTGGCGCCGCGCGGCGACCCGCCCGCACTCCCGGACTCCACCGGCCGGGCGGCGTCGTTTGATTAATCGGCCGTGACTTGCAATGGAACAATCAAACTCCATTTAGCCGCGTCCGAGATAGGATCGAGCCATTTGGTTGGACAGTCTCTCTGTTGGCGGCGCACGCACTCCGTGTACATTCCGTCATACAGACGGGCTCTGTCGGTCAACTATGTCGTCAGTCACGGTTACCGCTTCTGTCAGCTGAGTACACCCGCCAGCGGCGGACCCAAACCCCCTCCGCAGTCGGTCTAACCGGCCACACCGCCACAGACGGCAGACCACACGACCCAGTCCCAGACCCTCCGCAGCCGGTCCGACCGGCCACACCGCCACAGACGGCAGACCACACGACCCAGTCCCAGACCCCTCCGCAAACGGTCTGGCCGGCCACACCGCCACAGACCATACGGCAGCAGCCGACCCAGACCCTCCCAAATCGGTCTGACCGGCCAGTTGTCACCCCGCCACAGACCATACGCCGCCGGCGGCCGGACCATCGGTGGCGGCGGCAGCGGCGGCAGCGGCCGGCAGCGCCGCCGTTATTAACTGCGTGCCCGGCCCGCTCCCTGCACGCTGTTCCGGCCAATTACGCCACCGTAAAATGTCCGGCCGCGTAATTCATCCGCGTAACTATGGTTGCGTGCGGCCGCCCGTGTGGGGCCGCCGCAGCCGCTTTGTTCATGCGGCGGATCCGGCGGCCAATTACGGCGACACGAACACTCATTGGCCGGCGCGGCTGCCGGACCGGAACAGACACTGCATTGTTACACCCCGGCCCGGCGTCCCACGGTTCAACTGCACCTCCCACTGGTGGGACTCGCCCAGTGGGGCCAGTGATTCAGTGAGCCATGTACCAGAGCCAATGGTGAAGTCAAACCATGATGTTATAGCATGAACGACACTTGTGTGACCTTTTACGTCCTTTTGTACAAAATGGATGCATGGTGTTTCGTATCTTTCTTCTCGTTTGGTAATGTCAGTGCCTGACGTTTGTCCTGATGCATTACTATGTATCTACAGGCTAGCCAAAATGTATCTACTGCAGACAGGACACTAGGCAGACAATGTCCTTATGTCCTCGTCTGCCCTGTGTCTCTGCTGTCTGTTTCCGGTCTGCGTTCTGGTGGGGCCTGTCTGCTCTCTGACGTCCCCATCTTCCGACAGCTGATCCTGAAGCTCCTGATTATTACTGTCTGCTGTCTGACGCCGCTGTGTGACGCCACTGGATGCTGTGTGTGACGCCTCTGTGTGCTGTGTGACGCCGCTCTGTGCTGTGTTGTGACGCCACTGTGTGCTATGTGTGACGCCACTGTGTGCTGTGTGTGACGCAGCTGTCTGACGTTGCTCTGTGCTATGTGTGGCGCCTCTGTCTGACGCTGCCCTGTGCCGTTGGCAGACGTCAGACGGCCGAGGAGCGCGAGGCGGAGCGCCAGGCCACCAGCCGGCTGATGATGTCCTTCCAGCCCGACCAGTGTCTCTCCAAGGGCGTGTACTCGCCGCGCGACCAGCTGCCGGTCAACCACGCCTCGCTCAGCGCGCTGCAGAGCATCCAGCCGTGGGCGGAGCGCGCCGGCAGCCCGCCCAGCGGCTCTCCGCCGGCGCCGCCGCCGCCGCCCGCCGCGCCCGCCGCCGCCGCCGCCGCCGTCAGCGCGCCGCTCTGCTAGGGCCGCCGCGCGGCGCACTTCAGACACGCTGTGATATGTGGCCGCCAGTGGGCGACGAGTGCCGGAGAGGACGGGGCGAGTGGTGACTGAGAGAGGCGGCGCCGCGCGCGCCCCGCGGATGGGCTGTTCCTACCCGGGCGGCCCGGACCGGCGCGGCGGCGCGATCCGGCGCGCGCACTGTCGCCGACACTTGGGCGCTGTTTGATACCATGTGCTTTTTATGTTGCGTAGTATTATGGGCGACAGGAGCCGGCCAAAACCTCGAGAGGACCCCGGTGTAGTCGCTGGCGTCAGTAATTTCAGCCCGGTACATAGTGAGTCGCTCCCCCCCCCCCCTTCCCGTCCCTCCGTGCGCCCGGCTGGCAGGACCTCCGTCAGGGGCACCACGGCTCGCCGAATGAACATATCACTCTGCCCCGGCGGGATAGCCTCCCTGCCACTCCCTCGCTCCGCGGCCGCCAGTTCATCGCTCTGTGAATGTCGCAGAATCATTTAGTTGCTATAGCGTGTACAAACCTACGTGCCAGGATATATATTGCGATGAGTGAATGCCGTTATGTGTTAAATACATTGTCCTGGAAATCCTTTTAGAAACATGTTTAGAGTGATACGAATGGTTTCACTGGGAGACAAAATGAACATGTACCGGAGCATTCGTCACTTAAGTCCACTTTGGGGGATGGTTAGCGATAACGTAATGCCCAAATTAAAAAAAAAACGAAAGAGTACCGTGGAACATGAAATATTGAATAAAATAATACGCATGGGTAGGAACAAAAACACACTCAAAGCAGCTAAATGAAATGATATATGCATTTTAATTATGTTGATTGTACCTCTACAGACGTGTTTTCATAACACATCATTGTTATGATATTCATATGGGATTAGTGAGTCATCGTGAAAGATGTATGTGTATTATCACACCTTGTCTTTTTCTTCAGGTGTGTTGCACTTGCTTGCTCATGAACAGAAAACATACCACTTAACAAGAACATCAAGAACAAATAGAATATTTATCCGTGGGTTCGTGGGTCCGTGTGTCAGGTTACGGCAGTCCGTGTCACGCAACACATTGGACTGGACACTCTGAACTGGAAAATGACATCCGTGACCCCTCGTTATGTCCCTGAGTCATCTCAGGTCACGAATGGTATTCAACAGTTCGTCGTTAATAGCTTTTGATGGGCCTATGACTTCGCCTGTAAGTGGAAATTGCTTTGTTGGCGATTATGCCAATAAATAAATAAATGAAAAATAGTAGCATTCTATAGCGACGAATACGCCTTAGATGAGTTCGGCTCGACAATATGAATCGATTGATATGCAACATGACCTTTCCCGATGAAGTCATGACATTGACCTGACATCAAATGTTCAAGTTGATATTTCAAGGTCAAATTATAGTTCATAGGATGCGTTGTGCCGAGAGGAACACGATGCTGTTAAAAGTATGCCCTTCAAGTTTTGAGTCCAATGTTATTGAAAAAAAAAACGTTACAAAACGTCTATTTTGGCAGTATTTGCCCCCTGCAGGCTAAGTCGTGAACCTTAGGTCAAATCTGAGAGCATTATTCAGAAACAAAAAACGTTGAAACAGCTATGCAATGCTCTTTTCCGCAGCGCTGTAGCTCTATTCGCTCCTGAGCTATGCGCCGGTTTGTCGAAAATAGTCGAGGCTTTACTTGGAAAGTGGCGAATTTTGACCTTCGGCTGCCTGCTCTAGTGACCTTGCCTTTTTGATATGACCTAAAAAAGGGACTGAAGTAATTACTTCATTATTTCTGATGCTCTTTCGAACGCTGCCTACGGCCAGGGGCGGATCCAAGGGGGGGGGGGGGGTCACATGGGTCATGACCCCCCCCCTTGAGGCCCGGGGGCCCAAAGACCTTCCAGGGGCACCACCGGCCTATCAGGGGTATCACAGTCCTGACAGGGGCACCACAGGACCGCCAGGGGCACCACAGGCCTAGCAGGGACACCACGGGCCTGGTGCCCCTGGGCCCTGACAGGACTGTAACGCCCCTGACAAGCCTGAAGTGTCCCTGGCAGGCACGTGGTGCCCCTGACAGGCCTGAGGCGCCCCTGCAAGGCCGGTGGTGCCCCTGGCAGGCCTGTGGTGTCCATGGCAGGCCTGTGGTGCCCTTGCTAGGCCTCTGGTGCCCCTGACAGGCTTGTAATGCCCCTGGAAGGACTGTGGTGCCCCTGGGCCCTGACAAGCCTGAGGTGCCCCTGACAGGCCAGAGGTGCCCTTGCTAGGCCTGTGGTGCCCCTGGCAGGCCTCTGGTGCCCCTGACAGGCTTGCGGTGCCCTTGGAAGGACTGTGGTGTCCCTGGGCCCTGACAAGCCTGAGGTGCCCCTGACAGGCCCGTGGTGCCCTTGTTAGGCCTGTGGTGCCCCTGGCAGGCCTCTGGTGCCCCTGCGCCCGGAGAGGACTGGTGCCCCTGAAAAGTCTGAAGTGCCCCTCGGCAGGCCCGTCGTGCCCCTGACAGGCCCAAGGTGCCCCTGCGAGGCCGGTGGTGCCCCTGGCAGGCCTCTGGTGCCCCTGGCAGGTCTGTGGTGCCCCTGGCAGGTCTGTGGCGCCCCTGGCAGACCTGTGTTGACTGGTGCCCCTGCTAGGTCGCTGGTGCCCCTCACAGACCTGTGGTGCCCCTGGGCCTTGACAAGCCTGAGATGCCTGGCTATGACAGGCTCGTGGTGCCCCTGATAGACCAGTGGTGCCCTTGCTAGGCCTGTAGTGCCCCTGGCAGGCCTCTGGTGCCCCTGCTACCCCTGCGCCCTGAGAGGACTATGGTGCCCCTGAAAAGCCTGAAGTGCCTCTCGACAGGCCCGTGGTGCCCCTGGGCCCTGACAGGCCCAAGTTACCCCTGCGAGGTCGGTGGTGCTCCTGGCAGGCCTCTGGTGCCCCTGGCAGGTCTGTGGTGCCCCTGGCAGGCCTGTGTTGACTGGTGCCCCTGCTAGGCCGCTGGTGCCCCTCACAGGCCTGCGGTGCCCCTGGAAGGACTGTGGTGCCCCTGCCCCTAGGGGTGCTCATGGGCCCAACAGGCCCGTTGTGCCCCTGACAGGCCTGTCGTGTATACTTGCTAGACCTGTGGTGCCCCTGCTTCCTGGCAGGCCTGTGGTGCCCCTGGCGGGCCTGTGGCGCCCCTTCAAGGCCGTAGGTGCCCCTGACAGGTTTGTGGTGTCCCTGGAAGGACTTTGGTGCCCCTGACAAGCCTGAAGTGTCAAGGACAGACCCTTTAGACGCCAGGGTCAAGTTCGTCGGACTGACAACGATTTGCTTACCTGATAACGTTCCTGGTAAGTACTCATTACTCAGCGTCCACAACATATATACACATAGCACATTCATATATACTTGCTTACAATTGGTAAATGTGGTTGTGACTAAGAGGTAAGATACTGACTAAAAATAAAAAATAAAAATAAAAAACTGAAAATGGGGGCACCACCAAAATAAAGTGGACGAAATCCGTTGAGTTTTTAATTTTGGGTATAGGTAGGGGCACCACTTCGATTCATGACCCTCCCCTTGGAGTTTTCCTGGATCCGCCCCTGCCTACGGCGTGTCATCACGTGGTCTTAGAGTCAAGCTAGAGCTAGAACGGGGTGTTCACTCCCTCCCCCCCCCCCCCAGCAGGCCTGGAAATCCAGGACTCCCAGCGGACCGCGGGTTAAAGAGGCAGATTTGGAGCGAATAGCTTACTTTCGAATCTGGTTTTCGCCATCAGATTTTATTCATTTCGACAAATCCAAATTGAGTTGATGAATGTAGACAGGTCGAGAACATAAATGCAGCAAAGACATGGCTTTGTAAATTGTTACTCTAGAATCGTCAATCTAGGATCGTAGATCCTAAACGGCTAGTCTTTTAAAGTTAAAATCATACAGATGAATAGCCCTACGTTACGCTGCATTATCTTTCTGAAGGACATTCAAAAGTAACATTTTTTTAGAGCAACAAAAATAGCAAATGGCAGCAAAAACCTATAGGTATCCTTGAATGTTTGTAGCCCTTGAGAAAGCTAATACAACGAAACGTCAGGCAATTGATGTGTATAATTTTAACCTAATAACGATTTAACGACTAGCGACTAACGATTAACGATTTTATGATGATTCTAGAGTAACGATTTACTTAAGGTGTTTGCTGCATTTATATTCTAAATCGAGTTACCACGCGCATGACTGGGGTATTTCCATTACGCAGTTATGTTGATTGTACCTCTACAGACGTGTTTTCATAACACATCATTGTTATGATATTCATATGGTATTAGTGAGTCATCGTGAAAGATGTATGTGTATTATCACACATTGTCTTTTTCTTCAGGTGTGTTGCACTTGCTTGCTCATGAACAGAAAACGGAGCCCCCCTCCCCCTCTCCTAGCTCGGAAACTACTGGGCCGATTGCCAAAATTCAAAAGTCATTTGATTGAAAAAAGCAAAACAAAACAAAAACTGGAAAAACTGTATCAGGTCTCTTAGGTCTGTTAGCTGTTAGCGAGCTATCAGGTCTGTTAGCGAGCAGATACGTTTCTGTATGCATCTTGGCGAAGACGGCCGGCGCTCGGAGAGCGGCGGTCGGTCCGCCGCGCCGCGCCGCGCCGCGCAGAGTAACGATATGTGTTCTATCACAAATACATATTCCGCTTTTTTCGAAAAGTCGAAAAGTTATAGATAAAAATTTCAAAATATAGTTTTGGGGGTACAATATAGGTATCCTTTTTAACATTTTGAGCCTTTGGAAATCCGAAACATAAGCGTGATAGCTTTGTGTACTTTGAGTCCACTCATGCAAATCAATTGGATCTAGCTAAAAAAAAAACTGAGCTCTTGAGAGCGATTTCCTTAGTTTACTGTTTTGCATCAATTCAAAATCGACCGAACATTATGTCATTCTTACGTCAAGACCATTTTCCTGCCGAACCTTAGCCGCTACTAAATTTTTGCTTCCACACAGGGTGTCAACTGGGTGCATGCAGCCGCAGGTACCTTATATGTACTGATACGTCCAGCGGGTTAGATGAGACGTCCAGCGGGTGAAGATATTACAGAGAAACGGGAGGGGGCTCTGTAGAGGCCCTCCCCCAGTCATGCGCGGGTTAAGGTATCGTTGGTTGGTGATTTTCGCATGTCAATGCTAGTGATGAGAGTTAAGGGTTAAGGTATCGATGGTGTCAATGCATCTGCATGCATTCATTCATTGTGCCGCATAAAAATTCCCTTGAGTACACACAGTCGCCAATTGCTTGTAGGTATTTTCATTATCCCGTTGGCCTTATGCTTGTCAGGGGCATGTTCTGCCGCCTATTAGTCAACGTTGTGCCGGCAGACGTGCGTATGGGCGCAGCTGAGCCATGCTTCGGGCTGGTCGCCCCACTGGAGATAATCCATCATCATCGGTGGGGCTGACATCAAATATCGATCCGGGTCCATGGTGCGCCGTCACATGTGCCGTGTCACCGCTTTCTCCCCTCATTACCTCTGTCTTCACGGCACATCAATCAAATTAACAATACACTTTAGCGCCGAGACTTCAGCCAGCTCTACATGGAGCAGACAGTTTAAAGAACAGTTGTACCACTT